AACACAGAAAGAAATGCTACAAAGTATGGGGATTTGGGGATGGAGTTGAAGAGAGCAAGGGCACACTGAGTGAAAGCGTGGACACTTGGTGGGATTGAGGGGCCAGGAGCCGACAGTCAGCCCCAGGTGAGCGCCTTGTGAGACAGATAAGGCGTCTTCACCCAGAACATTTTAACAACAACTTGTATTTATATAGAGCCCCTCATACTCCCGGTCGCCTGACAGTGGCGGAGGATGACACTGAGCCGGGGTGAGGGGGAGAGGTGACTGTAAACACGGTCAAAGAGGAATTCAAGCACGACCTGAAGATAGGGAAGGAGAGGGAAAGGTGGAGAGATTGAGGGGCGTAGTGGCTGAAAGCCGACCCACCGATGTTGGAACGAAGGGCATGAGGGACAAGCAGGAAGCCAGAGCCAGTCAAGAGGAGGCATCGGGTAGTGGATTTTAAGATGAAATCCTGGAGTCTATAATTTTGAAGGAGGTACCCGTTACTCACTAAACATTTTAGATCTCTGGGGAAAACGGTAGCAGATTGCGGGAAAAATGGAACCAGATCCATAACTGAAAACTGAGTGCAGACTGTAACAGGTACAGGCAGCTTTAAGTGAAAACAGTGTTTTTTCAAACACCATACCGTCTCTGGTAAATGAAAGCTGTTTATCATGGCAGACACCATCCCAGCTCAGCAAAGCCCCGTTTGTCTCCCGCGCACACGGCAAGCTGACAGCTCTATTAAATTGGAAGAATCCGTCTGATGTATCAAGGGGAGGGAAAGGAGTCACAAAAAAAAACGTGCACCTGGAAGAGAGGAATCTCGTGAAAGTACTTATTCCTGCCCCTCTTCTGATTGAAGGTAGTTTCGGCCACAAAATACACAGTCGATTCACTTTAGAGTACATTCTGTGAAGTGCTTTGGGACATTTGAACGACATAAGGTAATCTCAGAACAATGCTTTCAGTTGCACAAAGACAGTAGAAAAAGAGGACACAGGTTTGGAGCTGCGAAGAGCAATTGCAGGAAAGATATCAGTAAGTTTTCCTGTATCTGCAGGGTAATTAATGACGAACAGGTTGCCAGGAAGGGTGGGTGAGGCCAGGATGTTGGGACACATCTAGGGGAATAAGAATTTCCAAGGCGAATGAAAATCAAAATCTATCCAGTTCACCTTCCACGATCCAGGACATGTCGTGTCCCAAACTATATATCGTTTCCTGAGATATTATTTTTCAACAGAAATAATAATTCTAACAGAGGGAAGGGAAAGCCAACCCTTCAAGTCTCTTCATAACTGAAGGCTGTCAACATTGAAGCATAAAAATTGACAGTGAGAAGACCGTTTGACCCACTTGACCCATGATACTGAATGCTGACTCACTGAACAGCAGTCGTTTCAGTGCTATTGCTGCAGTCCTTCCGCCTTGTCCCCTCCCCTGCCACCTTCAAGACCCTCGTCTTCGACCTTGCCTTTGATCTCCCTGCTTCCCCCTGTGCCCTCCAACCTCACCCGACCCCCAGCTCGAGTACAATACTCTGTCTGTTCCGCGCAGCGCCTTGGGACGTCCTCCTGACATGAAAGGCGCTTTACAAATGTAATTTTGCTGTTATATTCACCTGCCCTTTCAATAGAGGGGCTTGAAGGGCTTATGAGGATAGAGTGGAGGGGTGTAGTGCGGGAGTGGGGTTGCAGGGGGTGAGGGTGAATTGATCTGCTTGCTCTGTGAGTCTCTGAGGACCTGTTGGGCCAAAAGGCCTCCTTCTACTTTGTAGATTTCTATGTTTCCATGTTTCCCCTTACCGCATAAAATTTCTGGTAGATTTATATTGCACCTATTCTACTGCGATTACATCTGTCCTATAATGGGATGCCTAAAAATGTGCGCATTGCTCTAATTGTGGCCAAGCTAAGTTCTTGCACAAGTTGTGCCTGCTTTAATATTACTTCAAAAGTATTTCTTCATTTTGCTTTTAACTGCAGTGCAGGAGTCATAAATCTTGATTATTACAGCCTCATGCAGCAAATTACCAGAAGCCTTGAAATTCCAACCCGGCTTACCCTGGAACGTTATTCCGTCTTAAACATTTGAGATTGTGCAGAACTGTGAAAAATTCTTCAAATTCATTTGCAGGTTTTTTTAATATAGGAGCTGTAGAATGGTGGCTTTGAAATGAAAGTTGAATTTGAGACTGCCCCACAATTCAGCGCCACCGTAAATTTTTAATGACAAAAATGATCCTAGGGGCGAAAATCGTGTGGAATTTTGGTATTTTCATCAACACACATAGAATGCTTGTTGGACATATACCAATATATTCATCAAACAGCCTTTAGGTTCAGGCAGCAATTTTGGCCGCTCTCCAAAAGTCCAAAAGCTAATCTCTCTGTGAGTCCTATAGCATAGTGGTTAGACCACTCGGCTCGCAGGCGGGAGGACCAATACCCGGGCAGGGCAAAACCTAAGGCAAGTTTCCTTAAGCCATACACCTCTGTTTACCTAGCAGTAACTAGGAACCCGGTTGTTAGTTGATTGGCAGATCACTTTCCGGGGGTCACTCAACCTATGACTGTTCGTGGGAAACTGCTGTGTGCAATTGGCTGTCGCATTTCACCCATAAGAATACAGTCAATTCACTTTAGAATATATTCTGTGAAGCGCATTGAGATATCTCAATGATGTGATAAGGCATTATATCCAACGCAAGGCTTATTATTATTATCTCCCCAGTTCCACCATCCACAAGGTCAAACTAATCCAAAACTCCGCTGCCCATGTCCTCATCTGCACCAAACCCTGCACAATCCCTAGCTCTGAAAGGATCAATTTCAAGATGATTGCCCTTTCTTCATGACCTAGCATCTCTCTATCTCCTGGCCTGCTTGTAATCCCATTCCTCTGCGTCCCCTATACAATTAGCTAACACAGGCCTGCTGCTGTGTTTCTTCACTATCGGTAGCCATGCCTTCAATCACTGCACTCCCTACATCTGCCTCAAACCCTTTAAATCCCACCTGAAGATCGACATCTTCGACCACACCTATAGTCACCTCCCCTCCTCTTGCTCGGTATCCAACCCCGTCACTGTCCAACGGTTTGAAACACGAACTTGCATGGAAGGTGCTCTATAAAGGTAAGGTGTGCGTGGATCTGAAGCACAGACTTGCATTTTTCTCCTCACACTGGTCCAGTTTGGCCGACTGTATCATTCGCCTAGAAATTACACACTTTACAGCAAATCCTGTAAAGTGCTCAGAGGCATCAATCTGATGTCAAAGCGCTGTATTAAATGTAAGGATCATTTTTGTACTCTTTCAGGTTATTACTTCCAAGTTTAAAAACATCTGTAAAAGAACACTAGACAAAAAAATATTTCAAAGCCTCTGGACCCCTCTGTATGTGGTAGTGCTCTGCCACAGGAAAGACCTGTTTGATTTATGTGTCTGTTATTGGTTGCGGTTGCTAGTGGCCTCTATGGTGGTCCTTCGCAGGTCTGGAATAGTCTTCGGTTTTTTTTAGGGTTATTTTCTTTGACGTGCTTAGTTTCGTTTTTTTGTTTTTTCTGATTTTTCGTTTTTTACCCTGACATTTCTTGTTTTTATGAATTTTGCTCGGTCATGACCAATTGAACCCTTGAGGGCTTATAATGGATTTGTTTTTGTTTTTTGTCAAACCTTAGGTAAGTTTCCTTACGTTTTATGGGATATGGGGCAAAGGCAGGTATTTGCAATTGAGTTACAGATCAGCCATGATCTAATAGAATGACAGAACAGGCTCAAGGGTTTGAATGGCTTACTCCTGATTCTATATTCCTACTCCACACACCGTTGTTTACCTAGCAGTAAGTAGGAACCCGGTTGTTAGTCGTTGGCAGATCACTTTACGGGGGTAACAAATCCCTCCAAATTGATCACTTAATCCACGACTATGTGTGGGACACTGCTGTGTGCAATTGCCTGCCGTGCTTCACCCACATAATACACAGTCAATCCACTTTACAATATACAGTGGAAGCCGCTTTAGCTGGATAATAATAATAATAATAATCCTTGCATTTGATATAGCGCTTTTCACGTCGGGAGGACGTCCCAAAGCGCTTCACAGAACACACTGTAAAGTGAATTGACTGTATATTTGTGGGCGAACGCGGCAGCCAATTGCGCACAGCAATGTCCCACAAACAGTCATGGATTGAAAATGACCAATTTATTATTGTTTTTGGTTTTGGAGGGATTATTATTAGGCTCTGTGTGGAGTAAGGAAACTTGCCCAAGGTTTCGCCCTCTGCCTGGAATTGAACTCACGTCTCTCGCTTGCAAAGCGAGTGCTCTAACCACTGAGCTACAGGACTCCACAAATGGATGCTGGTTAACTTCAGGTGCCGGATAATCGGACAAAACACCCAGTTCCGATTGTTTGTATTCTTACCAATCGGGACCAATTCTTACCAATTGTATTCTTACCAATTGCTTTAAATATGCTGGTTAATTCGAGACAAAATGCTCGCTGGTTGCTGTTGCTTCTACTCACTCGCCACAAGTGGCTCGAGGATGCAGTTGGGAGGAGCCAAATTGCAATTGATTGACAGCGGATTCCAGCCATTGACAATCGACTCTGGGCTGTCAATCAGTGGGGGGGCGGACCAATGGGAAGAAACCAAGGAGGGAATGGGAGGAGTCAAATCATGATTGATTGACAGCTGGAGCCGCTTGTGAATGGGTAGATAACCCATCCAATCACAAAAGCTGTCGATCACCTCGGAGCCGCCGCTAATTAGTCCCCTTCCCATCCAATGGGTAACGGCAATGGGAGGGAGGCGGTGCCACTGCTCTTCTACTGGGCGGAAGGAGGCAATGGTATTTTGGTTAATTTTGGCAATGGTTAACCTCGGAAGCCGCTTTAGTCGAACAAAGCAACCGGCCCCAATGTGTCCGGCTTAACCGGCTTCCACTGTATACACACACACACACATATATATATAGCACTAATTTCAAGCTTCAACTCACCTGAAAAACGTGACAAAGAATTGCACCAGATCCATTAAGTTATTGTGCTGAGAAAAGGCGATCTGCAAAACAACAACAACAACAAATTACATTTATATAGCGTCCTTCACGCTGCATGTAACACCTTGGGATGCAAGGTTTGTCTCCTATACATAACCGCACGTGGAGACTCAAGTAAAAGTTGGCCAGTTGATCTTGGGCTGAAGTCAAGGTCTCATGTTAGTGTGAAGGGTGGGGGGGAGGGGATTTCCTGGAGGATGTTATGTGGGAGGCACTTTTCTGGTGTTGAGTGCCATTTACGCTTTCCCTTTCGAGCATTGTTCAATCCTACTGCATAAGGATGTTGTTTCAATACAGCGCTTGAGGAAGCACTGCATTATCAGAGGTGCCGCCCTTCCAACAAGACAATAATTTAAAGGAAATGTTTTATATCTTAAAAATACAGTACAGTAGTAATTGATTATTCTATTATTGCTGATAGTAGACTATGTACTTCTGAATTTTTATCACCATTTTTACACAGCATTTAAGTAATGTATTCACTGTTGAATGTAAAGAGGTGCTTCTTCCTAATTTATAATTTTGCAAAAAAAGAATAATTTTAAATACAATTTCAAGGTGTGAGCTGATTCTCTTCATCTATAACATTTCTCCACAGGAAATGGAATGAACACTTTGTGGGAAATAACTTCTCTTTCATTTAAAAGAAAATTATTTCTATACTTAGGAATACATTGGAGTCCTGTAGCTCAGTGGTTAGAGCACTCGCTTTGCAAGTGAGAGACCTGAGTTCAGTTCCAGGCAGAGGGCGAAACCTTGGGCAAGTTTCCTTACTCCACACAGAGCCTAATAATAATCCCTCCAAAAAACAAAACAATAATAAATTGGTCATTTTCAATCTATGACTGTTTGTGGGACATTGCTGTGCGCAATTGGCTGCCGCGTTTGCCCACAAATATATAGTCAATTCACTTTACAGTGTGTTCTGTGAAGCGCTTTGGGACGTCCTCCCGACGTGAAAAGCGCTATATCAAATGCAAGGATTATTATTATTAATAAACTAAGGTTTCTTCAGCCAGTTCAGGTACATGTTAAAGATCCAGCAATGCTATTTAAAAAGCGAAGAGAGTTTCACTCGGTGTCCTGCCTGACAATGCCCCCAAAAAGTGATCATTCACTTTTTGTGGGATACTGTTGCACACAAATTAGCTGCTGTGTTCACCTAAAATACCATGTTTCACAGTAAAATCCTGTGAAGCTCTTCGAGACCCACAGTGCAGTGGTTAGAGCACTTGCCTCGCAAGCAAGAGGACCCAGGCTCAATTCCTAAGCAGGGAGAAACCTTAGGTAAGTTTTCTTACTCCACAGGCTTCTGTTTAACTAGCATTAAGTAGGACCCCGGTTGATTAGTCAATTGGCAGATTGCTTTCTGGGGATAATAATCCTTCAAAAAACAATTTGGTCACTCAATCCACGACTGTTTGCGGGACACTGCTGTGGGCAATTACCCGCCACGTTTCGCCCACAAAATACAGTCAATCCACTTCACAATATATTCTGTGAAGCACTTTGCGATGTCTCAACGATGTGATAAGGCCATATATCAAATATAAGGATTCTTCTTCTTCTTATTGAGTCACCAAAGTTATTGAATTACCAAAAGTTTTGAGCGGATATCAAAGGGTTAAGGGGACTGGGGGAGTACAAAGATGGCTTGTGTGCAGAATTCTCCCACTTCCAATTAAAATTCATCAGATAAAACAGAACCCAGCAATGCGAGAATTTAATGCTGTGGAAAACGGTTATAATCGTGACATTTAGCTAAATATAATGCTTCGATGGTTTAAAACAAAGCCATGAATCAAATGACTGAAGGTCTTACCTCCTTGAAACGCACACAAGCCAGTTTTACAGAGGAGTAGATTTAACCGCTTCCCACTGTCGTTCAAAACTTAGAGACTTGGTGAAAAATCTCCCCATTACCATTCCTCCAAGGCAACCCAAAGTTTCCAACTGTTATTCAACGATTTACATCAAGTGCAGTAAAGAGACCGCAGATATAGAAAAATATGGATATGGTAAAAGATCCCAATGACATTCATTGTAACTTGTATCCCAAACCAGCTCTCTGAGAGTGTTTCAAAAACATTTCTGAGCCCAATTTCAGAGCAGGACTGATATGTATCTCATCGGCTGGAAATGAGGGATAGCAAATGGCCAGCTGGAAAATATTTTTTTAAAAATTTGTCAGGCAAACTAACAACAGTGGTAAAAAAGGAAGTGCTGGACAGAGTGGCCAGCAAAAATTGCAACCTTTCCAGGAATTAGGAAAGGCACATCCTTTCTGCAAACTTCCCGTTTCCTTTCCCGGAGATTCCGTTCCTCGCAGTGGTAGGTTAACCCTTCTGTTTCAAAGCGTTAACTCTTGCAAAGCGTACCCAACGCTTGCTGGCAATTTGAAAAGAGGGCACAACTAAGCCCCATTTTATATATGTATGTATATATATATATATATAATTGTGCAGTTCTGTAGCATATTGGTTAGAGCACTCGCCTCGCAAGCGAGAAGACCTGGGTTCGAATCCCGAGGGGAGGGGAAACCAAATCTCAGCATGTTGCCTGACTCCACTAGCCTAGCAGTAAGTAGGAATGCACGTGTTAGTCGATTGGCGGATCGCTTTTCCAGAGGTAATAATCCTTTCAAAAAAATTAAATAAAAATATTAGTTGAGCCTGTTTGTGGGACACTGCTGTGTGCAATTGGCTGCTGTGTTTCGCCCACAAAATATTAAGTCAATTCACTTTACAGTATATTCTGTGAAGTGCTTTGGGATGTGTTGAAGATGTGATAAGGCTCTATATCAAATGTAAGGATTATTATTATTAATAGTAATAATAATGCTAATATTTGATGCAGCGCCTTGCACTTCGGGAGGACATCTCAAAGCGCTTCACAGTAAGGTGTAGTGACTGTGCTCTTCTCCCTCTCCCAGAGAGGGAGAAGAGCACAGACACAGGATTCATAAAACCTTTTCAACATAAAACATTTGAAGGATTCGATAAGGTGGATGTTGGTGGGCTGCTTCCACTTGTTGAAAAGAGATGTTTAAGGGGGGACCTAGTTGAAGTGCTTAAAATTGTAAAAGGGTTTGATAAGGTTAACATAAATAGGTTGTTTCCACTGGTTGGGGAGTCCGTAACCAGGAGACGCAAGTATAAGATAGTCACTTGTGAATCTAACAGAGAATTTAGGAGGAGCTACACGCAGAGGCTAGTGAGATTGTGGAACTCACTGCCTGAAGCAGTGGTTGAATCAGAGAGTGTAGATACATTCAAGAGGAAGCTAGGAATGGAACGAAAGGGTGAAAACTCATGTGGAGTATAAACACCGGCATGGAATTGGTTCGGCTGAGTCGTCTATTTCAATGCTGTACATTCTTTGTAACTTGAGGCCTTAAATATAAAATAAACGCAAGCAGATTTAATAGGGAGTTAAGGAGGAACTTCTTCACTCAGAGGTGGTGAGAGTGTAGAACTCACTGCCGGGAGCTGTGGTTGAAATAAAAAGCATCAACGTACTTAAGAAGAATTTGATGCATCCATGAGGAGAGAGGGAATAGTAGGCGTGGATTATTAGCATCGGCACAGACTTCAGCCCAAATGGCCCATTTCTATGTTGTAATGTCTATGTAACTACCATCTTTTCTTGCACGTTTTACTGAATCTTGTTTGGATGGGGAAAGGAGGTGAATGAAGAGAAAGAGCAGGGAGGGAGAGAATGCTTGTGTGTCTATTCTCTTAGTGTCCACATTGACGACATTTATAATAATGAGGAAGGATAGTTTTTNACCCGATGGTTGTTACCATTTGGAATGCACTGCCTGAAAGGGCGGTGGAAACAGATTTGATAGTAGCTTTCAAAAGGGAATTGGATAGGTGATTGAAAAGGAAAAATTTGCCGGACTATGGGGTAAGAATGGGGGAGTGGGACTAGTTGGATAGCTCCTTTAAAGACCTGGCACAGGCACAATGGGCTGAATGGCCTCCTTCTGTGCTGTACAATTGTATGATTCTAACACAAAAACAGCTTGCACATATATAGCACCCTCCACGCAGGGTAGCATCTCAGAGTGCTTAAGGGTGGCAGAACCCAACTGCAATAGCTCCAATTAATGCTGCAGCTAATGTCCACTAATGTACTGAACTTAGTGATAAAGAGGAAAAGAAAACGGCCCCACATTACATGACTTCATGAGGTTTCAGCAATAAACGTGGGTAGTCTGGTTTGAATTAAGCTGATGTACGCCTGGGTTTTCACGTCAGCGGGTTAATTTAATCATCTGATCGTGAAACTGTTGCAAAGATTGCAACGTGCAGCAGAGAGCAAGAAATAGGAAACCTGTGATTTGCTCCTTTAAAAAAATAATAATCTTTGTATGTTCGAAGCAAGTCTCAACATGTGCTTCACATTTACTGTAAATTGTAGTGACTATTTACTTTGTAGGAGAACGCAGAAGCCAATTTGCGCACAGCAGCGTCCCATGAAATAGCCATGAAGTTAATGACCAATTTTATCTGGGGATTGTTGACCAGGACCCAGGATGGGAAACTCCTTTCACTTTTGAAATAGTGACAAATGTCCATCAGAACAGGCAAGTGAGACCTCGGTTAACGCCTCATCTGATGCACTCTACCTGCACACCCCCACCCGTCTCCCGGCACTGCCCTGAAGTGTCATTTTAGACTATGTGAGTTCAAATTACCGACGTGGGGATTGAACCCAAAACCTTCTGACTCAGAGGCAAGAGTCCGACTGACTGAGGTAAAACATTTCTCTCTTCGAACAAAATTGTATTCTGCCCTCCATGCCTTGCTGACAGACCAGGCTGGCTAGTCTCCAATCAATAGTGCCTTGGAATACTGTGGACCCATCAGGATTATTGAGATGATAAAAAATATGGACTGGTTGGTAGATCAATAACATAAGAGAATGAACTTATAATAATAATATAACAATAAACGTTGCATTTGATATAGCATGCCATTGAGACGTCTCAAAGCGC